TCTTTGTTCAAAGCTTCAAAAATTCTAACACACACACACACACACACATATATCCACTAATAAAATAATTATTCCATTCAATTAACTTCATATAATTGTTCTTAATGTGCAAAATGAGGAATTTTTACCTCCGAAGCATTTTTATAAAATATCTGCTGGTGATTCAAACATGAGTTTCCTATGTTAAATATCATGCAGATGACTATTGTGACAACTCAGTTATTTATTAAATCTTTGTAATTAAAATTATTTGAACTTAATATCTTAAATCTTCGGCCTTTTAAATAACTTATGGATTGGGCTTTCGTTACCTTAAATGTGCTGAGCCTCTATATCTCGTTTCTTAAATGAGCTATACCAACCAACCTAAGAATAAAAAATTCGAAATTTTACATAGAGTCCTAAAAGAAGTCGAAGTAATCAAGAAGAAGACCAAGAAACAGACTTTAAAAAGTAGATCAAGATTCAGACTCTTGACCACTCGATGTGCACCTAGTTGACGCTCGAGCCCTCAAAACAAGAGCACTGACGCGTGACCTCTACGACTTTGGCACTTGAGTGGCATGTCGATTGCTTGCAGGCATGAGGTATTTAGCATGAGCGACAGTTCGACAATTCAGAACCCTAATTCGATTTTTAATCTTATTTCACCCCAAACATTACCCATTATAAATATACATGCCATATTTCGTCCAAATGTGTGTTGAATCATTATTTTACATTAGAGAGGACATTGTTGAAAATCAAAACACAATCCATTGATTTCGTTGATTCATAATTTATCCCAAACATATTATTATTGGTTGAGCATCATATTTAGTCAAGAGAAATCCTTTGAAGATCAAAAATACATCCATATATCTGTGGCCTCAGCTACAAATCTAAATACACAAAGATTCTTGATCAATACCAAAAACCTTAAATTCACTCATAAGCCTTCAGAGCTCTGAAATTGGAGTAGAGGATACAAGTTCCAGGGCTCTGGAATAAGTTCGTTCTTGGTGATCTAGTAGAGAGAAAAGTAACCTAAGGTTGTTGGGAAGTTTGGGTCATGCAATTAAAAGAGTTCCCTGGTGATTTACAAATTAGGTGATCAGAGTCAGCTAAAGTTTAACAATATTTGGATTAATTGTAAGTTAACTTTTCTAGTGAATTTTACTGGTAAGTTTGCCCGAAGGTTTTTTTTTATCCTTGAGAAAAGTTCTTCAAGAGGTTTTCCTCCGTGATTATATATGGTATTATTTCCTTTATTTCTTTTCCTCTGAATGTTTATGTGATTATTTAATTAGGATTTAAATGGATTAATAATCTTAATGATCTAAAAATAATAATTAAGTGACTTGTTGCTAGTTATTGATAAATTTCGCATATTTTAGTCTAAATATTTCCCAACAATTCATGTAGTGTACACCTTAAATGCATAGTGCTACATCCAGGGGAGAATCCATGAAGTTGATAAGCTCGAGCAGTTGTTGGTAACTGAAGGTCGCAATAACGAGAATATTTATTAATATTTAATTAAATAATATTAAAAAAAATCTTCAATATAAACGTAAAAATCATATACAATAAAAATATAATCCAAAATAACAAGAAAAAAAAATACATTTTTTGAATCATATCATATGATCAAGTTTCAAGTTGTGACAAACTTAAACGAGACAAGATGAAACTTATATGTAAAGCAAAATTAAACGATAAATACTAATTCAAAACTTAGGCAAAGTTTTTAAAACAATCATTTTTAGAACTATTTTCGACCCAAAAAAATGTGTGTTTTGAACTCTTAAAAAAATAAAGAATAGTAGTTAGATTTTCTGAATTGAAATTTTACAAAATAAATTGACAAAATCTAACAATAAAAATATATATTATGCATTGTTATTATAACCAACCCGATCGTTGATTATATAAATCATTGGTTCAGGGGTTCAACTTTGCAATATTGAATTTTAGTTAAATAATAATAATAATAATTTTTAAAACAAGTAGTCTATTACTTTCTAAATTGAATATATAGTTTCTTGTCACATTTATTGTCAAAATTCTTCAATTGTCATAGCGGTCAAGCATTACATTACCATATGTAGAGTACGGGTTTGAATCTTACCTATTGCAAATATGATATAAAATTTTACCTTGAACAATTTGGAAGTTAAAAAATTAAAAGAAAGAGGGGAAGTTCTTGGAATCGAACATTGTACCTCTTGCATGTAAAACTAGAACTGTACCATATAAGCTACACAACCTATTGTTGAAAGTTGTTACATTTATAAATATTTAACGTTATTCATCAAATCTTTATAAGCCATTCTTTTCCTACGGAGCCAGCACGAGCGGCCGCGTCGGCTCACCTGGTACTGGGTCCACCCCGGCTACATGCATATACATTCATAATACTCAGCTCTTGTTTGGCCTCCATTATAATGAGATTTTTGAAAATAATGTATCTTATAATAGTAATATTTGGGAGAATGTGTGGTTAAAAAAGAAGGAAATTTTTTTGATTTATATATAATATTATTTTATTAAAGAATGTGTGGTTGAAAATATGAGAGAGAAGAATGTATTAAAATTTTAATGAGGCCAAACAACGACTTAATACATACAACATTTGTCTTGAATGAGTGAATCAAGATGACAATGTGAGTCAAATGTGGCATAAGAAAAGATTAGGTGTTACGAGTTTCGTCATAAGATACTGAAATTTGATGATAAAACTTCTTGTGCACATTAGTTGTGCAATTATAGCATCCTATTTCAAATATGTTCAATTTTTATAAGAACAATTTAGAATGTAAATAGTTCCAATCCTCCTCATCATCCAAATCCATGTCATCAATCTTTGCCATGTTTGTTTAGAATTCCTTCTATTATGGAATAAATAAGATATCGTAATTGCTTTGATATCAATTATTATTAATTTGGATCGATTGATAATGACGATAACGAAATAAACACCAAAATTTATGTAGAAACCCAATACGGGGAAAAAAAAAAAACACGGGTAGAGGGGGAGAAATTCACTATAATTAATAGCAATTGTGTTTGCAAGATCTCAATGCACTCAATTGAAATCTATAGCTCTCAAGATATTGTATTAATCTCTCTCTATTGTGTTGTCCTACACACATACACATACACAAACCATAGAGAACAAGTTGTAGATGAATAAGAGTCTAAAATCGCGTCAAAAAATAACAATGGGTCTGGGCTGGATAAGTATGTCGCTCAAGCAATATACGGGTGATAGGCATGCGACATGGAAGCGCCAAATGAACAACCAAGTCTCGGGTTGTTTTCTACCAGGCTCGCTTGAGCGCCAAGCTAGAAAAAATTCAACGACTTTTTCCTCCGGTCTATAATTTTGTTCTCTTCAAAACCACTCCAATTTAGATTTCAATACCCACTAGAATTTGGGTCAAACTGCAACAAATCTCCACTTTTAACCAAATTCCTACACAAGAAATTTCAAGTCACGACTCCATCAATAAATATTACTCCTCATCTTCCAAACAAATCCCAATGAACTAAGTCAATAACAAACACCCACTAAATCCAAGCAATGTTCAAATTTAGCAATAAGAAGTGGTTTTGTCATTATATCAGTAGGATTATCCTTGGTATCAATCAATACCCACTATAATTTGGGTCAAACTGCAACAAATCTCCACTTTTAACCAAATTCCTACACAAGAAATTTCAAGTCACGACTCCATCAATAAACATTACTCCTCATCTTCCAAACAAACCCCAATGAACTAAGTCAATAACAAACACCCACTAAATCCAAGCAATGTTCAAATTTAGCAATAAGAAGTGGTTTTGTCATTATATCAGTAGGATTATCCTTGGTATCAATGCTCACTACAATATCACCACGAGCACTCACATCACGTACAAAATGATACATCACATTAATGTGTTTAGTCATCTCGTGAAACATTTGATCTTTAGTCAAGAAAATTGCACTCGACTATTACAGAATACTATAGACATCTGCAAGTCTTCACTTATTTCACCAATCAATCTCTCACCTACATAGCTTCCTTACATGTATCTGTAATGGCCATGTATTCTGCTTCTGTTGTAGAAAAAACTATTTCATTTTGCAAAGTAGCTTTCCAGTTACTACTTTAGTCCATACAACGACTTCTTCAACAAGCACACAAAGTCTTCTTTCCTAGAGACTATGAACCCCTCTGGTTATTGCATGTAGATGCTCTTATCAAGTTTTCCATATAAGAATATTGTCTTGACATCCATCGGTTCAAACTTCAAGTCATTCTTAGCCACCACTCCAAGTAAACCTCGGATGGAACTATGCTCACAACTAGTGAGAACACATCTGTAAAGTCAACACTTGGAATCTGACTATAGCCCTTTGCCACCAATCTAGCATTGTATTTAGCATCTTTAATAACTGATGTGCCTTCCTTTATTTTGAACACCAATTTGTAGCAAACAACCTTTTTACCTCAAGGTAATTTCACCAAGTCCCAAGTATTATTTTTGATCAATGACTCCATCTCCTCCTGCATAGCAATCATCCATCTGCTAGAATCAATGCAACTATTGCCTTTGAATATGTCGCAGGTTCCTCAATGGAATCAACGTCTTCAGCCACACTCAATGCATAAGTTACCAAATCCACTTCCGCATGCTTCTGTGGAGGTCTAATATGTTTGCGAGGTTTATCATTAGCTATAGAATGGTGTGGTGCTGGTGCTGTGGGCAAACTAGGCAAGATATTATTGTCTGTCAACCCCGAGTTGAATGATTCTGCTTCTCAATTTTATTAGAATCTCCAAGATATGAACCACGAACCATAATAAGTTCATCAAATACTATATCCCTTCTAACAACCACATTTCCTGTCTTAGGACACCACAATTTATATCCATTCACACCCGATTTATATCCAAAAGAGATGCACTTTCTAGACTTAGCCTCCAACTTCCCATTATCCACATGAGTATAAACAAGACACCTAAAAATATTCAAATCAGAATAATAAGAAGGTTTGTCAGACCATACCTCTTTTGAGTCTTTTTATCAATAGCAATTAAGGGTGAGCGATTAATCAGAACACAAGTTGTAGTAGCTTCAGCCCAAAAAGTCTTAGACAACCCAGAATTTGAAAGCATATAACAAACCTTTTCTATCAAAGTTCTATTCATCTGTTCTGCCACACCATTCTGTTGAGGAGTTCCAGACACTGCCAAGTGTCTCAAGATGCCTTCAGCCCTGCAGAAGCTATTGAATTGATCTGAACAAAACTTCAACATATTATCTGTGCGTAGACGTTTCACCTGCTTTCCAGTTTGCTTTTCTACTAATATTTTCAACTCTTTAAAGGTTTCAAACACATCACTCTTCTGCTTCAAGAAGAATACCCAAATTTTCTTGGAGAAATCATCAATCACTGTCAACAAGTAATAATAGCCTCATTTAGATGGTACCCTAGCCGGTCCCCAAAGATATGAATGGGTATATTCAAGTGTTCTACTCGTGTTGGTCATCCTTTCGTGAATCTAACTCTCTTCTGTTTCCCAAAAACACAATGCTTAGAATAATTTATTTTGCTGGTCTTCTACCCATCAACAAGTCTCATTCTACTCAACTCTGTCATGTTATTCTCACTCATATACCCAATCCGCATATGCCAATATTTTATAATTTCATCATCTGTCAAAGAAGTAGAAACTGGTGCATCCCCAATTACTGTGAAACCATGGAAAATGTACAATTATATAGAGGTTTTATGTCCCTTCATGACATCAAGAGCATCTTGACTTATCTTCAAAACTTCATCGGTGTATCTATAGGAGTCAAGTGCACTTAAAGATATGAGATTCGGCTTCAGTTCTGGAACATACCTTACATCTGTAAGTGTTCTGATAGCCCCATCAAACATTCTGATTCTAACTGTACCAACTCTAAAATTTTGCAAGGCGCGTTGTTTCCCATAATAACTGCACCTTTCGAAACTCCTTCATAAGTTGAAAACTAGTCCTTGTTGGGACACATATGAAAATTACAAGTTGAGTCAAAAACGTATTCCTCATATGGTTTGGAATTCATGTCAGAAATCATAGGAAACTTTCTTTCACATTGCCCATCTTTCACAACTCAACCTCTGCTCAATTAACAGGTTGCTTCCATTTTTTAGTAATACCAGCAGCTTTATTTCTATTCTTCAATATATATCAATCAGCTCTAATATGTCATTCTTCTTACAATAGTGACATGCCTTTTCAGCATGTCTAGATTTCAATCTGCCCTTCATATTTCTACCAAGACTCCTATCTTGATTTTTCACATGCACAACCAAGCCTTCAGCATGATTCTCAGATCATCCAAACAAGATACATCATATTCTCCTTAAATAATAAAGTTTCATATACCTCTTCCACTGTGGGAGTATCCTGACTATAGAGAGTTTCTCTAAAAGTCACATATGATGACGGCAGAGAATACAACAACATCAATACCAAGTCCTCCTCGTCATACTTAACTTCTAATGTCTCCAAATCGGTCACGATTTCTTTGAAAATAGTTAAGTGATCATCGAATAGTGGTGTCAATAGGCCGAGTCGAGTCGGCCAGGCCCATTGTCTCACAGCTCGGCTCGTGCTCGCACGAGCCGAGCTCGTGGCTCGTTGGCAA